TGATTGACACCAGCTGAAGATCTGGCCCCGATTCTGCCGTGCCTTGCCTCTGGGGAGTCATTTACACCTGTTCAGAGTGCAAAAGGCAACCAGCAGCAACCACTGGAGCTGCAAAGCAGCGAAGTCCCATCCCATCACCTTCAAAGCCTGACATGCCACGCACTGATCAGTGGCACAGGGCCCAGTTCCCTTTGCATCTCAGTTGGTTTTGGCGTTGTACATAGACATCCTCTCTTCAGCTTCTAGTAAACCTTGAGATCTCTGCCAAGATTCATGAAAGAAAAAGTTGTGACCCAGTTCCTGGAGGGTGACTTGGTGTAAATAACTTTCAGGGGCATGATGACACCCTCATGAAATCTAGCACCACACACGTCGGTCCATGAAATGTGGAGCCAAGAACCAGTCCTCATCCAGTGTTATATGCTGAATATCTGTTCCTTTCCTTGCACACACAAAATCCCTGGCAATTTCCGGAAGAACTGCAGTTGTGCAAGCCAAACAGGGCTTGGCTTATGTTCTGAATCATCCAAAAAGTGCCAGTTTGCATGGACAACATCAGCCTTTGAGCAAAGCTTGCCAGATCTGAATGAGACCCCAGTTGACTGCAGCTGGCTGGCCTGCCTGGGCTGTCCCTTCTGCCAGCTTTAACCGTGTGCCCAAAGAGTCTTGCAGGGACTAGGCAGAGCAGTTTCCATTCACAGCTTGCAATACACCTGCAGGAACTGAGGCTGGACTTTGTCATTTTACTGCTCTCAGTGACACCCTGTCCAGCTTGGCACTATCTGGTGGCCTCTGCAAACAATGGTAAAGCTGGACACACATCTTCACAACCTCTGTTTTCCTTGGAGAATTCCAGGCATGACAGTCTCTTCTGGTTTTTGACATTGCCATCCAAAATCCGGTGAAATTACTGTAAGGCCTCCAGAACCGATTTCAAATAAAATGGACCCAGCATTTAAATCTAAGGTACCGTCTTTAGATCTGTGGGTTGCTTTGGGCTTCTAATTTCCATGGGGATTTGCATAATAAAATACAATAATAGGCTGGGCGAGTACATTGAGCAGTGGCTGTCAGCCAGGAGCTAATGAGCTCCATTGCAGACTGTTTAGCTCTGGACAAGTCACTTGACCTTCTAAAGTCACATCATCTCCACCTGTGAAATGGGATGGTAATACTTGCCTCACGGGGTGTTGTGAGGATTAATTAGTTGCTGCTTGTACATCACTTTGATGATGTTAAGAACTACATGCCTGCTAAGTATTGTTATTGTATCATGGCTGGGAAGATATTGCAGTTAGGGCTAAATCCTGCCCTTGGAAAATGATGTGTCTTTCCCCATATCTTGTAAAATCAGCTGCTGGGCTTGTGCAAGCAGCTTTTATATAACATTGGTACCAAACATCAACATGCACCTTGTATCTCTGAGGCTGCCAAATCCCTGGAACAATGGCCTGCTGGGAGTCATGTGATGCCCCATCCAGCCACAAACAGCTCTGGGCAGGAGCCCTGCTGCAAACTCTTCCTCTCCCTTCCCTCACAAACTGAAATTAGGAGATGTTTCCATCGGACACTTGAGTTGTGATCTCAGGTCTAGGGCTCGGTGCCATGCAAAGCCAGGGCAGCACATGCTGCTCACTGCCCATGGGACAGCCCGCCTGGGATGGGACACTGGGGACAACTGAGACATTGCCAACAGGACAGAACCCTGGGATGGGACACTGGGGACAGCCAGGCACACTCCTGCACCTGGGACATCCACACTGGCTGCAGCGAGGTGGGATGGCTGCGAGAACACACGGATACACACACAGGCACAGATGGATACAGGTAAGCTCCCCTTGCTGAACCTCCAAGCCTTGGCTGGATGCTTCCTCTCCTGTATGCTCCCCTGAGAGGAGACACCTTCCACCTCGGCCTAGATGCCACCTAAGAGTGCACAAAGAAAAGAATTCATTTTCTGCAACAGGCTACAGCTCAGGATCATTAATAGGCTAAAACCACTGTATCCAGCCTACTCAAGGAGTTATGCATCCAAATCTTGGTGACATTTCGTGGAAGTCGGCCAAATGGCTCCCTTCAATTCCTTTGAAATTTGAAACATAACTGTCAGTGTATCTTAGACGTGTGAACTGCTCTGAGAAGTCTTCCATATAGATTAGACTGCGATCAAAGTGTTCCATTAAACAGAATTTTATGAAGACAGAGGGTTGAGGCCGGGCTGATCAGCAGCAAAATTATCTGAGAAAACACAAACTTCCAAAGCCAGCAAGTTTGAAAGGGTTAAAGAAGGTTGTTTGGGTAGCCGGTGTACATTAACTATCATTTTCAGGCAGCATGCAATGACTAGTTAGCAGGGCTTATCATCCCAGCTATGTGAGGAATTACAATAAATGCCTGAAATGCAAGCAGGTTTCCGGCTTAGGTAGGTAAATAATGGAAGTCACTATTTTTGTCCGAGTTGCAAGAATTCCCTGCACACAGAGGCTCCCCACCCCCTCCCCACTGTAACACAGCTAACTCCACTCCCTGCTGCTTGGCAAAATGAAGTCCTTTCCTGCATCCTTGGGACTTTTGCTTTGTCTGCAGAAGGAGCCGACTCACAAATTCCTTCTTGGTGGAAAACAAGAGGTTACATTTTCTGCATTCATTTGTTTTAAATATTTCCAGAATGTAATGACCTAAGGATGAGAGGAAGGAGATACGAGCTGCTCTGAGATGGGGACTGCGTGATTTGTAGGGGAAAAGTAACAAAAGAAGCAAGCAGGGCATAATTCTGATGTTCCCAAAGGCTCCTAGCAATCTTCCCATTGCCTTCAGTGGCATGAAGCACCATCCCCTGCTGAAAATACTGTTCAGTGATTCTGCTGCTATTTGAACAGTCACTGGAGAAAACTGCTGGCTGCCTCTGCAGGACAGAAATAGGATAAACTCTGGATAGTACTTAGTAGTAAATAGGGAATAAAGTCATTACAGTCAGGGAGCTGATTGTCATTTAGCCCAAGGCTCTTCTCCCTGCGCTGGCATCCCCAGGCACGTGCCTGACCCGGCCTCTCTCAGAGGCCCCTTTGAGGTCTGTGGATGGAGCCTTTGCTGGAGGAAACACCGGGCTCCTGCCATGGGAGGAGAATCAGGGTGGGATCCCGAGCCTTGCAAAGTCCCTGTTGACCTGGCCAGGCTCCAGGCAATTCCAGGAGAGCCTCAGCCCTGGTGAATGCTCCCAGTGTTTGTGCAGCACTGCTGGGGGAAGCCCAGGCTTGGAGAGGAGGGGCCCAGGGAAGGGTTAAGCAGCGCCAGGCTGGAAGTGTCCTCCCTCCATGCTCCACACATGCCATATTCCTTAGTAAAGTGAACATATTAACACTGGCATGCTCCCACACACTGCCTTGGCCCTCCTCCAGGAAATCATAACCCAGCTATTTGGCACACAAGGCCACAATTTTATTTACACAATCAACTTCTTGATAAACACAGAACTTACAAAATATACCACACCCTTAAAACAAAAAAGGAAAAAGTGTGGGGGAGAACTGCAGCAACTTGACCTTCTTGGCCAGAAGGGTCAACATGCTTTGATTTGATAGCCCCATCCACGAGGAAACTGCCTGTGGATCCATGAGGATTTGCCCTGGCTTTTCGGCAGGGGGCACATAGGGGTACTCTGTGGGGCTGGGAGCTGCCTGAGGGATCAGGACTGAGTCAGGCAGGTTTCCTTTTGGGCAGAGGGGTCTCTGTCTCTATGAACATTATAATTTTCAACTCTATGTCCCCCAGTCAGTCTAACCAACTCCAAGTAGAAGTTGTGGGCTTTGTTTTGGAAGGAATAAAAATTCTGATTTCATGTGGCAACCAGATTTTTTTGTGACATATTCTCCTTGGCCAGAGCACTAGTCAATTCAGCTGGGAAACTGAGAAGTCTTAAACCTTCAGCAGCCCTGCAGGGCACCCACTCCCTAAACATCAGATAAAGCTGCCCCAGCCTTGCAGTGACCTAAGGGGCACATGTGTGCATGATGTTGGCATCTGGGGTCACCTGAACTCAGCTCCACCACCTTCTCCTTCACCTTTTGAGCTCACATTTCTCCACTGGCCCTTCAAAGAAATTCTCTTGCTTGGCAAATGAGTCACATCCTTCCTCCTTCAATCTGTAAGTCCCTGAAGATCTGGGTGGCATCAGATGCAACCCCTCCAAAAACCAGGGGTAATGGTAGTTCTGTCAAGCCTTACACATGAAAACAAGAAGATGCTTAAATATTGCCTAAATCTCTCTTGAGAGATATTGCATGAGAAAAAATAATGGGCCAAGGGCATTAAACTGATTTATACTGGCTGAGGGTCTGGACATATTTGCTTTATTCCTTGCAGATAAGAAGATCTGCTGGAGACTAACAAGATTTGGAAAGTTTGGGAAACAAAGATTGATTCTTTTACAGGTTTTTTTTTTTTTTTTTAATTTTTCTCACAAATAGGAAGAACCACCTTCAAATACCTGAGACACACTGCAATCATTTAGACAGATAAACATCTTGATTGCTAGAGATAAAAGGAGCTGAATGATTGGCCTCAAAACCAAGTATTCGTGACAATTCTCAAAATGAGAGCATTATTACTCTCCATTTCCACAATAATTTACATACAACTGCAAAGGAAACCCTTCTGCCTTTGCAGCTGGGGAGTGCACTGCAAACAAAGCCTTGCCACAGTTCCTGAACACGCAGAGGTGGATGGGTGGATGGGTGAGCAGATATCCTGGACCACTGCCCTGGCTGCAGCTCAGGGTCTGCATCATAGCCCAAGACATTGATTTCTTTAGATGAATACCTACCTGGCCTTGGTATCACCACAAGAGATAGTAAAGAAGGCCCCCTCCAAGGGAAGGATGAGAATGCTGGAGATTAGAGCCAAGGCCAAGGGAAGGAAGTCTGCAGGACTGCAGTCAAGCACCATGGCGAAAAGCACTTGCAGGGAGCTTCTGAAATAATTTATTTGTTGTCTGCCAGACATTTGGTCTCCCTTCACAGGCTGGGAAAGGAGAACGTGGATCCACCTGAGCAGATCAGAACTGGGATGGAAATTTCTCAGGCTGCCCATTACAAAACAACTACTATGCATTCACTTCTCTCTCTTCCTCCCCCAGAAAGCAGCAGCTGAAATGAGAGACACCAAGATCTGCCAGAGATCTTATTTTTGCCTCATCCACCCTGTCAGGGTCTTGCACACACCACTGTAGCAAAACACTCGCAAATTGTAATTTAGATCTGCCTGCTACATATTCAACTGCACAGGAACAAAAGGCTCTCCTTGTATTGTGAGTAATTCCTTCAAATACCAGCTGTTGCCTGATTTCTCCAGAATGGCCAACTCCTACAATTTTATACAGCGAGTAGTACTACACACAATGACTTTCCACTAAAATAATTTTCATACCTAAGGACCTCATCTCTGAATCTGGGATTTAAAGTCAATTTTTACCCTCAGTGAATAAAAGCTGAGTGCCTCTAATGCAAAAATCAGAAGGCAACACTCACCTAGCTCTGTGTACTAAAATCTGAATATTACACTTTTTTTGGATGCAACTTGACTACTTCCATGCAAAAAAAGAAACCAGGGAGAGTCAGGGCCCAAACTAGAAGTATCCCAGCTCTGCAAGTGAGGACAGGGACCTTCAAGTTGAGAGACCTTTTCAACAGCTGCACCGATGATTTCTCAGGAACGGGCTCCAAATTAGCCTCGTCAAGTTATTTCAGAGCCACAGGAGGGCAAGATGTGGAGGAGGACTTCAAGGGTGCTTTCAAACGAATTGAATCAGAGGTTTACCCAACCCCGCTCTTTCAGAAGTTTCTGAATAACGCACCAGCTTGAACCACTGGAAAGAAACAAATAAATGAGCTGGCAACTTTCACAGGGAGGAGCCTTGAAGCCCAGTTCCCAAGACCACGCCAGCCAGCTCCGTGTGACAGCACACAGGAATGAAAATAGGTAGGTAACATTAACAGAAATACACTGAAACTTAATAACAGCAGCTTGTCAGGACATGCACCAAAGAGAAATGGCTCATAATAGCTACAGCTTGTATTATGAATGTTTCATAGCCATCTGGCTACAGAGCTGCCTGAACTCAGCTCATGTGTTGTGTGTGCTGTGCTGACCCACCAGGCACGCTCTGGAAGGAGATTATCAAGCTCAAGTCAAGCATCTGTATTAAAAAGAGACACCATTTCTCTTGTCAGATTGAAAATGCTTTGGAATAACAAGGCAGCAATGAACAGAGCTAAAGAGCTAAGGCTGTGTCCTCTTTTGGTGTAAATCAGGAAGTTTTGCTCAGGATAAATGGAGTTATCCCAATTTACACTGACTATAAGATCCAGCCCCATTGTATCAACCCCTTGTTTCAGTCATAAGTTCCATGTGTCTATCAGTAGCTTAAAGCAAAGGCACAGTTTAAAAGGAAAAGTAATCCCCCTGCCTTTCCTCTCCTGATCTGATTCACATACAAAATGGGCTTATGAACTCAAAAATTATGGGAGGGATTCGAGGAGGAGGAAAGGGAGACACAAGAGCCCTTTTATTTTGCGTCTTATTCACAATGAAAATTGGCACAGAAGCCAACCACATACATTAACATAGTTTGGGCAAGTTTAACTCTCATGAATACATTTCTGTGGAAAAACTATGTGACTATGGAAAAATCCCCTCTTTTTTGCCATTTGAAAAGATAACAGGCTTCTATGTGGAATATACCCAGAACCTGCCTGATTCAGAGACATGGAAATACAAAGATGAATAAGGCTGTTTCCCATGCTAGGGGCCCATGGAAACTGGAAGGGGAGGAAGCAGTAAGGAGGCCCATTGACTCGGGAGAAAGACTTTCATCCTACAGGTGAAGGAAGTATTTGAAGGCACTGGTAACATTGCAGGCCTGTTCCAGAGCCCATTTTAGTCACTGACAACATCACGTTGACTTCACTGCAATGTGGGTTAGGGCTAAATAATTTTAAAATATAATCCAAGGCTATTTCCACATCACTATGTAGTGAGTGGGATCCAGTTCAGGTGTGCCCAGCCCTGTGACTTACCTGCCTTTTGTCCATATTTCTGGCTGCTAGCCTGACTGCTGCTTGGGCCCTAAGTCTCAACATTGCACTGAGGAAGAGCTGAGCACGGGATCTTTTTGAAGGTCTGTCTCCAACGGGAATGCACACCAGACTGCACCCATAACTAACTCAGGCAACCCAGAGGAAGAAAAGTTCTGGCCACATGTAGTGGGGCATCAACTGCACCTCTCTTCTGTCCTCCCCTCCTGTATACTCTCTCCAAACTCAGGCTGAGGAGGGCTCGTAGTGGGAGTGTTCACCAAGAGCAGAGGGTATGTCCATTGAACAACATGGGCATTCCTTTGTGTGATGATATAAGTGCATGGCACCCGGATTTTGGAATTCAAATCCAACCCAGCTGCAGTGATGAGTTCTAGGGTCCTCTGGCCCAACTGCAGTCCAGATGTAGCCTTAAGAATTCTGCAGGATTTCACAGGTACACAAAAATAGTGACTTTGACTCCTAGATCCCTAATTACAACCTACAAGCTATTGCCATTCCCATAAAAAACCCCATCTCCTTTGCTCACTGGCACTGTGCAATGCTAGTCCTGCTCCAGCGCCACATTCCTGGCAGAGGATGGTAACCTCAGAATGAATATTTTCTTTTGAATGAATGTTTGCTTTATTATTATCAGATACAATAGTTTGCATTGCAAGTCCTTCATCAGATCACTTCAGATGTACATCACTGTATCAGGCCTTTAATATCATGCTAATTTGTTTCATAAATTACTAATTGAACTCCATAAATGACTCATATTGGTATGGCAAGTATCGCCATAGAGAGAACTCCGTGATCTCAGAGGAGGATAAATCACAGAGCCATCCTCTCCTGCTATGTAACACAAAATTGAACAGTGGGCTAGGAGCAGGACGGGGGATTTTCTTCCACAATTAGTGCAGAGCCCTTATCTCTGTGATGCATCTCATTACCACGTGAATTGCTCCTGTCCCAGTGTGGAGTTTCCACTGATGTCAGTGTGTGGAAGAAGCGAGGTGCACAGACCCACACATCGAGGGCAAAGGATCTGTGGATCAGATCAGGAACATTCCTTTTCAAGGGCAAGTCCATCCAAAGTGCTCAGCTGCTTTACTGACATCTAATGCACATCATCACTGATGTCATTGCTGAGTTTGCCTCCACTGGAGAGACTGGGTTTGGCCAGGCTCAGAAAACAGGACTTTTCACAAGTTGTGCAGTGCTGGCCACTTCCTGCCACACAAAATGCTGCTTTTGCTTTTTCCAATACAACTGCCTCCAAAGACCGCCTAGAAACAAAGTCACACCTTGCCTGGCTTGGCGGCTGGTGAAGGATACCTGATTATTTCAGGGCCACTTTTCCAAAGGCACCACTCTGTTTCTTGCTGGGCTGGAGGGAGGTCGGAGGCCTTCAGGCAGGTTTGTCTGACTGACCCTTCGCTCACTGACCTGCTGTTGTTCCCCAGGAGCCAGCCTCACCACCACTTGCCTTGCAGCAAAGGATGGGGTATTTTTCTAACCCAAATCCCAACAATCTGGTATCTACACCTGCTCAGCCGCATTCACCTCCCACCAGAGTTAATGGAGTGAGTAGGCACTTCTGGGAAGAAAATCACCTGGCCTACAGCAGATGCCTCCCTTAGGATGAGATCAGTATCACTCCCAGGCAGCTGCAGAGGACATTTGGCTTCTCATCAGCCGTCCCTGTCCACCTACATCCCGAGGAATTCCATCCCAGGTGAGTGCTCAGATGCTGCGTGGCTGAACAAAGGAAAAGCACAGTTGTTTTGCACACACGATTGGCCTTGTGTGCATCCTTTAGTTTCTGCCCTCCTGTTTTGCCTTGTTCTGAGCTGCATTTTATGGCTGAGCCTAGGGCAGGGAACCTGCTGCTGTTCCTGCACCTCCAAAAGCAACGAGAGCATGAAGACCACCACGTGCACAGGAGGTGCTGCTCCAGCACAAAGGCTTGGCACAGAACTGGTCAGCCAGGTTCCTACAGGGCGAGACAAAGCCCAACAGAGATCTTTGCAAACATCTCTGCTGGTCTCCTGCAGTCCTGCTCAGTGTTTCACCCAGCAGATCTCTGAAATTAGAAAGCTGCACAGTTCCAATGCATGACCAAACATCCTGCATCAGCTCCTAAGAGAAAGATGTTATTTATTTTACCCACACAAGGCTTATCTTGTCGTAGCCATCAACTTTCCATGGAAAGATCATGCTCTACTAATATACATCAGTCATTAGAGGCAGCTTCTAAACTTTAATATCTCCAAAGGAACAACAGTTGTGACCCTTCCATATTTTATATTTACAGACCAGCAGGATGTGCTTACTGGGATCAGCAGGTGGTGTATGTTCAGCTGCTCTCAGCAACACTCAGCTCACCTGTTCCCAGCGAGGGCAGCTGCCATCAGGGAAGCAGTGCCCTGTGAATGTGCCCTTCAGAGGGTAGGAGAGCCCAGATTTGTAAGGCAGACATCAAAGTGCTCTGTGACATGCAGATGTTTTCCATGCAGAGGCTGAGAAAAGTGATGGCCAAGACTTTGTAAACCCCACGCTGTATTTTTTCCTTCATTTTCTCCCTTACATCCCCCATTACCTTGCCTTCTCTTATGTGGAAGAACAAAACTATTAAAAATGATGGGCTGTATCCTCAGCTGGTATAATTTGTTGTGACTTCACAGAGCCATGCCTGTTTACACAAGCTGCAAATTTCTCCCATCAATTTAAATCTCTACAGATTTACATCATGGGGAACAGCTCTACATTTTTTCCCATAGCTAATAAGCTTCTTCAAAAAAAGAAAAGACAAACAAGCACTCTTGACATCTATTAAACTTGTATTTGGAGATAAAGATTTCAAAGGATGCCTTCTCCCACCCTATCTCACGTCCTTCTTCCTGCTCCTCTGTTTATTAGAGGGTCTTTCCAGTGTCACATGGGCCAAAGCTGAGCTGAGTTGCCAAGAACGGTGCCCATGGGTGAACCCATGGCTGGATCTGCTTCCTGACACGTATCTCTGTTCCCTTTTTATCTCCCCAAGTAGTGCCGCAACCCATCCCAAAAATCCCTGAGTCCTGCTGAGGTCAGAGCTCTCTTCACTACCACCCAGGCTCACTCACAGGATGCAGTGAAAAATTCCTGCTCTGTTTGATCAAGGGCAGAAAGTTCAGTGCTCAGCTCCCTCAGCCTGGGTGAATTCCTTAACCAACAAACTAAAGCCTCTTTTTTAAAATGTTCTTCATCCATTACATTTTCATTCCAAGAAACATTTCATCTTCCTATCAAATAAAAGCACACTTGAAACTTCAACATTTTCTACAAAATTTAATTCTTGTGTTCCCACTTGCCCCAACCAGAAGTGCTTAGCCCCAGGTCTGTAGAACACATTGCACCGTGCTGATTTTGTGCTGTCCTGCAGAGAAACATGAGGAGGTTTCATGTGACATTACCAACTCACCTCCCACAAAATCTCCCTCCTGTGGATGAGTAGCGACCTGAGCACTTAGCACACATGAAGACAGACACTTCCCATTGGGAAGCTGTTTGCTGAGCCATTTGGAAATCCTAAGCACTTCTGAACCCTCAACAACAACAACAACTTTTCTGCTGGACAATACTCTGACTGAGCCTGCTTTTGGGATATACTGAATTATCCTAAAGAGCCAGGTGACTTAAGTGCCAAATTCCTTCCTACATTCACTGATTTAATTTGACCACTGAAGCTCTCCAGGCGTTTTTGGAAGCCCCAGTTGCAATTCCAGGAACCAGTATGTCCAAGATGATCCCACGGGTTGAACACTGTCATTAAATGCATGACCTGTTCCTGCTGGAGGCAAACGATGGAGTCCCTGCAGGAGTGCAGGGGATGAGGAGGCTGTATCACCCATTTCAGCAGTGGATTTTCTGTGCAGTGTGTTTTCTGTGCTATGGAGCCAGGCCAAGACCAGTGGGGATCGCTGAGGCCAGGGTAAAAGCCTTACATTTCTTCCAATAAAAGCTGAGTCTAGTGACCTGCAAAATATGTTGCAGATACGTTTTCTTCATGGATTAAGGAGAAAGCAACCAAGATGATGAGGACTTGGAGCTCACAGTGACAAAGGAGGGGCTGAGAGAATTAGACTTGTTCAGCCTCTAGAAGAAAAGATGAATAGGAGACCTTACTCCTGAGACAGCACCAAGAAGGCAGATCCAGGCTCTTCTGGAAGGTGCACAGCTCTGCTGGCCATTGCACTGACTCTTTGTGTTTCCTGGAAGGCTCTTTCATAACCCACCTTCTCCAGCATGATGTTTGCTGCCTTCTGTAGGATCTCCTGCTCCAAGATCAACGTTTCCATGCTACTCCTCTTTCCCTGAGACTGCTGACTTGCCGGGGGTTAAGCTGTCTCTAGAACAGCCCCTATCCCATTTAGCCTCTATCCCGGGATTTTCTTCCATGAAAAAGGCACTGTAAAGGCTCTGGACCCTGTGCTATGATTTACACTTTTTCATCTCCTGCAGAAAGCCTGCCGTGTATGTGATGATACCATTCAGCTCCGTTTACCTGAGAACTTAAAAAAATACCATCGGAGGTTGTTTTTTCCATATGGGTAAATAGTAGGGGTGGGAGTATTCCTTATGGGAAACCTGGAACAGTCGCACTCTGTGGGCCTGACATTTCCTGCTGTAATTGAAACTTTTGAAGTTAAAAATTCCATTTACACAGTGTGTCTCCAAGGCAGGCGGGGAGAAGGGCAGAGGTGGGCTTGGCGTTAGTGCACGGTTTCCCCACCCCCCCCACTGCAGCCAGTTAAATACAGCAGGTGAGTGCAGAGATGTAAGGGCAGGAATATGAGGAAGGAAATTCCAGCTGAGTTAGGTAATTTGGGTCAGAGGAAGCCAGGCGTAGTTACAGAGGCAGGTACAGATCAAATCAACTCAAGGCTCTGGGTCTCTGAGCTGCCCATGCCCTTGCCCAGGCGGGCAGGGAGCGCTGCATCCACGTGGTCCTGTCTCCACGGGATGTGTGACACAAACTTCCAGGCTCTGCCTCAAGAGGATGGAAAAATGAGGAGAAACAACTTTGTCCTCTTGCAGGTTAAAAAACTTCTTGCTGCATGTCTTTGAAATTCTCATCCAATGCTATACAACCTAATCCTCAGCAAAAGCAGCCAAGCAGCCAAATTCTAACTGGAATCCCAACTGGCCTTAGGTGAAAATCCAAGCAGAGGGTCCCACTGCTGCAAAACACAGGCTATCCCCACACCAATTCCAGACCCTGCTATGACTTTATTCCTGAGGACCTGCACAAACCTACACAAGCCAGACCCCCAGCCTAAGTCAGTGTTGACTTGGTTCATCCCCAGGGATCCTGGGAATGAGCTGGAAATACAGCTCATGGGCCCATAGGGGATCCATCCAGCATGATTTGCCCAGCCTCTGCCTCAGGTCTGCAGCAGCCACCAGCCCAAATCCTCCCTCTACGTCCAGCTCTACCCCACCCCAGGAGCTCCTGTCATTCCCAACCCTCGAGCAAGGCAGATTCTTGTCCTCCTTCCCCATGAAACTTCTGGCAGGCTCTCAGGGGTGAGCAGCAAGAAACACCAGAATGCTGGTATCAACCCTGGCTCCATCTCCTCCTAGCAGTAAACAGGGGAATAAGACAAAGTCCAGGACAAGACAGGATCCCTGTGAGTAATGGACATAATTACATTAGCTAGGCAAAGTACCTTTATGTTAAGAAATATTTTTGGCATGCCATGAAAAGTTTGAGTCCTGTCACACCCCAGCAGTTACAAAAGTCAAAGGCAACATAACATGAGCTTTATTTTAACTGTTACATGCATTTGCATAAAAATGCTTCTTCAGAATGATAATGCAACTGTGCTTCCCTGTTTTGGTTTTGGTTTTTTGTTTTTGATTTGGGGTTTTTTTTGCTGCTTTCTTTTTTGATGCAACTTTCTTGCACGCTCAAAGGCACAAAGTAGAACAGGAAGCATTTCTGCCTAAGACTCTTTTCTCAGGCACCTTCAAAAATTAAGTCTCAATCCTTTAAGCTTTTCTCACATATCCAAAGACAAGACAGTAAAAAAAACACCTAGACTCAGCAATCACTTGTTAAAATCTAGCTTTTCACTGTCAAATGGGACTCTGACCCTCCAGCCATGACAGTGACAGCCACAATAACAAGCAAATTACATTCCTCATTATTCTTCCCAGCAACCCTTGGGAGCAATGGACAGTATGGGGTGAGAAAACTGGGCTGGGTCTGCAGAAACAACCACTTCAGAAAGGAAACAAAAAGAGTTATTTGAACAGACACTGAGATTGATTCTCATTTCTAACCCTGTAACTTAAATGACAGCTGACTATGTACTCAATTGATGCCTTGGGGTTCCACAAAAAAGTTCATTCGGGAACAGAAGTAGGGAAAGCTTTTAGGTCTCAAAAATACTAAAGTACATTTTATCCCACTGACTTTCTCATACTATCACCTAAGCAGGCAAAACTAAAACCCAAAGTTAGCAGCTGTTATGTTTTAATGTTAGATCTAATATACAGATGCTCATTTTTATTGAAATATTTAATTGAGATATCACTGGAGAAATTTTGAATTTTTTCATCTAAGCAGCTGCTAAACAGTCTTTAAAAATAATAAATTAAATATTTTGGTTCAGATAGCACATTACATTGTATTTGAGAAAAATTTTTACAAGTTTTTTACATAATTCATATCTTGGGGATAAATTAACTTAGGAAGATTTAAAACCCAGATTTGCCAGTGATCCCAGCACCTTCCAGTTTTTCCTTTATCTCCCACCACGGAATCTTTCATAGAAAAACTTACAATAAGTGTTCCAGTTTTCCCAGGCAAAGTTGGGATGATAAATTGCACAAAGATAATTTTTTCTATTATAGTGAAAGGAGTGTCCTAAGACTGTGGGTGCCCCAATATGCAAAGGACTGGCCCTTACTCGAGGGGTTCACAACTGAAGAAAAGCGAAGATGGGAAACCAAAACTAATGTGACTTGTCCAGTGCCCCAGCACAGACTGACAGCAGTGGTGCAGAAAGAGTCTGGTTCACTCTTCCCTTAGTGACCTGTCTGATAGGAGGCTATGGTCAGACTCACTGATAAAACCTTTATTTTGTTTTCTCCTGCCTTATTTTGGCTTCATGAGCTGGCAGTGTCACCAAACTTCAGTAAGTACAAATGTAATGGTCTTCAGCAAATAGCCAGAGGGAATCAGTGAAGATCTTTATCTTGATCTTTTATTGATTTTGATTTTTTCCCAGCTGGAACAACTGAGAATTCCCAGTATGCCACTAGCAGAAGCACATACCTAAACTTATCAACTTTGAGATAAAGAAAAAAATCAAAGGAGGAAAAAGAGACACCAGGTAAATAAAAAGCAGGAAAGTGCTGTGAGGAACCGATGGCAATACTTAGCCTAAGAGTTGTTGGAGTCTCTGGTCTAATGCTATGGATAAACATTTGTCCAAATGACAGCACACGATGTAAGATGATGTGAGATGGGCCAGAACTAAGTCATGATTGATGAGCCTTGGAAGAGCAGGACCTGGCTCTCCAAGGTTGGTTTTGCAACCTTTGATCTTTATAGCCACACATTATAAAGCGGTTTCAACTTGTAACTAAATTCCTGACATACTCAGCTGTAAAATCCAGACATATCCTGAGCAATAAAACAAATACATAAACTGGAACTTAGGGGAGAGTCATCTTTTACTGTCACTTAATGCTGGAAACACCTAGAGCTTGTTCTGCCACATTCAGTAGGAAAACGCCATTTTAAGAGCAGCGTGAGGGATTTGGGCTGGAAGTAAATCAATTGGGTCAGACAGTCTATTTGATTAATCCTATCTGGATCCCCAATTTCCAGTGCCTCTACAGAACATCACGAACAGGCACTTTTCTGACTGTAACTGTACCACACGATGTTCATGAAATCCAACTTCTATCACTCTGTGCATCAGAGCCATGGGCCCTCTGCAAAAACATCACTGCCAACTGTGGATATCACCAATAAATCAAAGCAGTTGCACAAGCCACAACTTAGGTGGCATTAATTAGATCAGTGGAAGTTATGATCCAACATAATTATCATTGCTACCCCACCTACATTTAATTTCAGTGTTTCTTCCTATCTTTGCGCCAGAGGGTCCATAGGGAAGCACTGCAAGCTTCAACAGTGCCAGCCTCCAGAGGCAGCACGAAAGAGCAAGGGCTGCTAATTATGTGAGTGCAGGTAAGGGGAAGGGGACTATCATGAGATGTGATCAGGTACTGTACAAGGGGAGAGAAGTAAATTCACCCTTTGCCCTTACACACCCTGCAGCTTTGCAGCTGCCTTATCTGACCTGCCTGTCCCTATTCTCCAAGGTGTGTGTGTAAAGAAATCACTGCAAGCACATGGAGAGTCTCTCCAAAGGAAACCTGATTTCCCAAAGTCTTACATACATGTAAAGGTCAGGGTGCTTGGGTGGGACTTGCAGCCTCTCTGACCACATCTGTAACAGCAAGCACTGCAAAACAAGAGGAACATGGAAACACAGAGACAAATGGCTGGTGCCAAGGACCTGACATTCACACAGGGCATTTCCATTCCCTGCTTTCCTTCAGAGAGCTGCAGCCTAATGGCAGCAGCAACCAGCATGAGCTGGTCCAGGCTGAGTGCAGCCCTGCAGCCATCCCGGAGGAATCTTGTTGATGTCCTCCGTGAGTGCTCTGTGACATAAATGTGCAGTTCAGGGGAGGTCACGGGGAGACATTTCAGAAGCACACTGCTACCTCAAATGAAATGCTAATGCCAATGTTTCCCTTAGAAGCATCTCCATAAGGGGCATGGACAAGTGTCTGTCCTGCTGAAATAGCCCAGTATAAGAGGAGCCTGCTGCAGCTCTGCAAGGGTGGACAGTGTCCCCAGCCAGTGGCACACGGTGTGGCTGCACCACCACACGGGCAGCCAGCTCCCCTGTGTGGCCTGGGTGAGCTGTCTGGCTCCAGCACTGCCCATGCCAGCAGGGACAATCTGACACCCTGCAGCTCTGAGAGCGTCTCAGAAGAGGGAGTCATACAAGAACAAGCACAAATGGGAAACCATACGTTTGCAGGGCTGAGCCCTGAATCACAGCCCAGGACACAGCTGTAATGACAGTACATGGCTGGAGAGCTGCCTTTGAGCTGGCTGGAAGGACTTGATACAAAAGGTACCATATCTTTCAGGTCACAGCAATCCTTTCTGACTGAAGGTTGCACCATCACAGTGGTTGGAAGACAAAGGGGTTTTCTGCTAAGAATCCCCAAAGATGCTCTGTTTTAGCCGGTCAATTGGTTCTCTTCTTCTTTGACCTTTCTTCTATGCATGTGCTCTTCCCTACACTTACAATAAAACATTTTCCTTTGACACTGTGCAGGGCTCTGCTTAAAAAGAGCTTGGTGTAGTCAGGTGTGTTCCTGGTGAGCTGCAGGCTGTGGTACAAAGACCCCACTGTTTTTCAGAAGGCCATTCACCAATGTTCACTCAACAGAGGAGACCAACAGTACAGCAATATCCATCAACCCCTGCATTTGCTTGTAATTAAAGAAAGGTCAGGAGCTGTGCATTTCTGAGAATCATGCTTACTTTTGCATGGTTAAAACTCAAACGTAGACAAATTTCACAATGTAGACATCCAGAAAAATGAAACCTGGGACATGAAAAATATTAAATAGCCAACCATATGTGTTTTTCAAGGTTTGTGAAATGGATTTGCCCCTTGTGCTGTTAAGATTGTGTTTGGTACCTAAGAGCAAAAGCTGTCGTGTTCCAGTTTTTTCATGCCTCGCTGCTACAGAAAGGTCCTGATTCACACCACTTCATTATCTTTCCTCATTTTTATAGGCAGCCAGAGGGCATGCTGGATCCTCAGTTTGTTTGTCTGGATCCACTCATTAGTAATTTACGTGTAGTGAGCAATGACGTGCACCTGGACATTTAGTCTGAGTAGATTCTTTAACACTCAAATTAGTTGTGCTACTCCAGCAAGAAAAGCAACAGATCTTTCTGAAATGTGATTTTTTTTCTTTATGCTTTTGCATTTCTAGGA